CAGGGACAGGTTTGGCATGGCCAGAAGATGTCAGGGAAGGAGCCCTCCAAGCTGCCCCTCAGCCTCTGCAGGGTCTGAAATTGCTTCTCTTTCTCCAAGCCGCAGCTCTCCCTCTGCTCCCCTGCCTCTATGGTGAAGCGACACCAGTCCCTGGCAAAGGGATGCTCAGGGGCTTCACAGTGGGGAGGGGGCTGAACGCCGGCACCGGTTGCACGGGCAGCGGTGCTGGAAGGAGGGTGCTCCTTGGGCCCCGTCTCACCGATGTCGTTGGCCTTCCTGGGCACCATGCGCCGGTACAGCCGCATCATCTTGATGGCATCCATGCGGATCTCAATGAGGTTGTTGCAGAACGCCAGCAGCGGGGCAAGGGGAAAAGCGGCGACGAAAATGGTGGTGAAGCTGTACTGGATCACTGCGGAGAAGGAACATGCTGGGTGCTGACGTGAAGCCACCGCAGAGGGGACATCTGACAGGGTCCTGACTGCTGTCTGGGTTTGTCCTGCTTTGCGGCTTGTGTCGGAGAGGCCTTGCAAGGGTGGAAGGGGGAGATAGACCTGTCCTGGGGACCCCACAGGAGACCCCCCCCCTCCCACGGCTGCCAGAGGGGGGGATCTGTGGGGGTCCCACAGGGTGCTGGTTGAGCCAGCCAGGCAGAGGGACCACCCTGGGGTTATGGTCATCACCTTGACACCCGTGGGAGGAGAGGAAGGTCCCAGGCAGGTGCCCAAGGCCAGCACAGCTGCCTGCTCTCCCTTGTTTTGGGGGTGATCTCCTCGCTGTGCCAGAGCTCTTGGAGCGGGGCTGGGCATGGAGCTGGGTCTCGGAGCTCTCCCTTGCCTACGTGTGGGCTCCCCAGCATCAGGCTTTCTCCAGCCAAGGAGGACACGTGGCTCTGCACCCAGCACCCCTCCTCCCTCCACCCCCTGCCCTACATACCCATCTCCAAGAACTCGTCAAACAAGCTGAAGATGTTGACCTCGTTGAGTCGATAGTTGCTCAGCCACTGCCTTTTGCAGGGGTCCTCGGCCTCCTCGTCCTCTCCTAACACCATGCTTCTCTTCTTGGGGCGCTGCTGCTGCTTCTTGCGTAGCTTGTAGGCTATCCAGCTGCAAGGGGAGGGAGCGATTTGTACAGCTGTCTGCAGAGGACAGCAGGGCTGAACTGCTGCCAGTGGGAGCCCTGGACACCTGAGGCAGGGCGAAGGAGGACGTCTTGGCCCAAAGACCAGGGTTGGTCTCTGTAAGAGCTGGGAAGGTGTCCTGAATGTGCAGGAGCACCAGCGAGCACTCTGCGGGCTGGAGGAAAGCTTACGGGACGAGATACTCCATCACGTTGCTGATGGTCTGCTTGAGCATCATGATGATGGCCATCTGGATGAAGAGGTCGGTGATGCAGCCGCTGGGGTGGCACTGTGAAGGGACAAGGGGAGAGGAGCTGCACCCTGCCAGCAGGGCAGCCTGGGCCGAGGGGCTGTTTGGCCAAGGCAGGTGCTGCAGGAGGAAGCTGAGATTCCCAGAGCCTCGCTGGGCAGCAGGGAATGGAGGAGCAGGAGTTGTGCTGTGGGGTCAGAGAGCTCCACGGCAAGTGGCTCACCTCCTCCAGCCTCCACTTGCCAGCGATGCGCACGTAGTTCCCTGGGTGGCCGTTGATCCTGAGCAAAGAAGCAACAGCAGCGATACGGGTTGAGCCCCACTGCTGGCCCCCGTTGGATGAACACCCGGGTGCAGGACGGAGGGCACCATCCTCCGGGCACTGGTGGAGAGCCAAGGGCCTTCCCCTGCCCACTGTGCCCACGGGGCAAAGCCATGGCCCTCCTGAGGTCCCAGACGGGGTCCCTGTGCCTGGCGGGGAGGGTAGAGGGGCTCTCTGGGGGCCGTTGGGGATGTATGCCCCAAACCCAGGCTCCCCCCTGCCTCCCCCAGGGCTCTGGCCAACACTCACCGTCCCAGGAAGAAGGCGATGTAGATGAGTGAAGAGAAGTTTGTGAAGAACTGAAAAGTGAAGATCTTCATGGTGAAGTGGTTCTCATGCTGGGAGAAGGTCCGTGGTTTCTCTGGGGAAGGGAGCAAGGCACAGGGCCTTGGTCACACAGCGGTGGGACCTTGCCCTGCTCCCCCTCAGGTACCACAGCAGCTCTTTGAAGGCTGGAGAGGTGTCTCTGCCAATAACACAGAGCCTTTGATGGAGCTGAGCCCAGCTAAGCAGGGAGGTCCCTCAGAGCCATGAGCTGGGGAAGAAGGGGCCCTTCAGCTGGGAGAAGAAACATGTCGTGAGCTTTCCCGCAGCTGTGGTGGCTTTCTTCTGGTGCCGAGTCTCAGCCCCACAAGGTGACAGCCCCTCTAAAGCGTAATGTGGCTGGGGGACAGCTAGCTGGCCACGGATCAGCTTGTGTGTTGGAGGGCTGCTGGCCTCCCACGGGGACCTGCACAGCAAGAGCTGCCGGGAGATGCCTTGCAGTGGTGGAGGAAGGGAAAGGGCCAGGAGCCCGGCTGTGTGTGAGGACCAAGGGGTGCTGTGCTGCAGCCCTGGGTACCGCGGGGCAGCTCAGTGCTGCGGGGTGTGGGTGCCGGTGGGGGACAGCCCCCAGTGTCCCTTACCCAGGTGACAGAGATAGAGGGCCACACGCCTGTTGACCTGCAGGAGAGAGGTATAAAATGAGAGGCAAGAGTTGGTGGAAAAGCGAGGAGAAGACCTGCTGCCCGCCCCATGTCTAGCTCCGCACCTTGGTCATGATGACAATGGTCAAGTAGTGCAACACGGCCCCCGCCATCACCGCCATCGTGTTGGCCTTCTCACGAAGGAACTTGAAGTTGCTCTGGGTGAAGTAAGCTGTTGCTATCACCCGGGAGATGACAAGCGCGTGGGTGATGCCAATCAGCACGGCAATCTGTGGAGAAGCAGGGCAGCGGGGTGATGGGAAGCTGTGCATGGTAGGTATGTGCTCCATCCCACCTGAGGACCACCAGCCCTTCAAACCCTGGCTCCCTTCACCAGAGCTCTTCTGGACATGGCTTCAAGTGCAAGCCAGTGCTCTTCAGTTAAGGATGACAGGTTCCTAAGGTAGATGTCTCCACCTGAACTACTTGTCTAGACTCTCTCCACTGGCCTGCAGGGAGAAATAAGGGCATCAAGGGTTTGCCGCTTCCTACCCTCTGTGTTACTGCCTCGATCCTTGCTGCCTTCCACTGCAAGAGCCGGGCCTTCAGCCCAGATCCCCAAAGGATGGTTGGCCTCTCCCATCAGCACAGCGAGGTGTGAGCGTAGGGAGGCCCCTGGATCCTAGTGATGGGCACGGACCTGCCCTAACAACCTGGTTTCTCTCTTTGCTCCAGCAACAGCACACTCTGAGGTGCTGTTCTTGCAGCAGAGTAGGGAGGGAAGGAGGAAAGCCCAGGTGCCCTTAAACCAGATCTTCCTGTGTTCACCCTGGTACGTACCATCAGCAGAACCAAGAGGAGTACGATGGTGCTGCGGAAGTAGGAGTGCTGGTACTTCTGGGGTTCGTGCTGCAAATTATTGATCAGCTCCATGGCTAGCTCCTCCTTTAAACAAGAAAGGAAAGAAAGGACCCAGCAGAGCTGTGCTCAGTTAGTGGGAAGGCCAGGGGTCATTGTGTTGATGGACATATGGGATGAGCAGCACCAGAGGAGGACAGGGATGAACACCCAGCCCACAGCAGAGTGGCCAATGCTGATTGAGTCAAGCCCTTGTGCAGGTGGAGAGGCAATCAGCAATGCAGAGGTGGCTACCATCTGCTTAACCCTCTGGAGGGCTCTGTCCCTCCCAGGATGCTCCAAGGACTGTCGGGTGTTGGTTTAGCTGTTGAAGTGTCTCCATTAGGTGTTTACATCTACAGAGAATTAATCAGGGCAAGGGGGTCCCTGTGCCGTGTCTTTCCCGTAGGTCCAGCTGACTGCTGCCCTGAGAAGGGAAGCGCTGAGCAGGAAAGGTGCCATCCTCACCTCTTCCTCATCCCACCTGTACAGGTCCCAGTCGGTGACCACGGTGGCTCTCTGCCTCTTCCACAGCTCCAGGAACACAGTGGCTGTGGGGGGAAGGAACGAGCGCTGTGACCCCCGGGGATGGCTCTGGAGACGAAGCCACCCCTCCGTCCCACAGAGCGGGATGGATAGCTGTGTTGCCATCCTCTCTGATGGCAAATCAGCCTGGACCCTTGGCCCCTGAAGGACAGGCAGCCACCTCTGCGTCCCAGCGACCGGGAGGGACCCTGGACACGCAGCAGCGAGGGCTCAGCCCCACGTGGGGATGGAGGCGTGCGGGTGAGCTTTCACTGGGAGTCAGGCCAGCTACAGTGTCTGCTGGGGATTTGGCACGAACCAGAGTAAGCACCGGGGCGGCTGTGCTGCAGAGGGCATGTCTACACGGCGCCAGCCAGACACGTTGTCCTGAATTAATGGGAAATGCACCTTTCAGGTGGAACAGGTATCCTGCACTGCGCCTCAGCGTGGCTGCGCCGCTGCAAATCCGTTTACAGCCACCCCTCCTGGCACCCTGTGGCTGACACGGTGACGGGGTCACACGGCGCAGAGCCCAGCGGCTGAGAGATCAGGCAGCCACCTGGGAAGGTCAATGAGGGATCTGGTGGTCCCTCCCTCCTGCAGCTGCGACCACTTGCGGGCGGCTGCTAGAAAAGCCCGGCTAGAGAGGCTGCTGGGTGCTTTGCAGGAGGCTGTGGTGGGTGAAGGAGTCAAAGCTCTCGGGAAGGACAGGTAAGGACTGTTTGGGGAGCTGGAGGAAATTGCTGGGGTGATATTGTCCCTTGCCTTGTCTGGAAGGGGAGTTGGTGGCTCTGGAAGAAGAGGAGATAAGAGCTAAAAAGCTCCTGAACAGCAAAGCTGTGTTGGTGTCCTGCTTTCCTCCACCTACTCTCCCCTAAGCCGCAGTGGGCTGCTCCCTCTTCCATGCTGTGTGTGCTTGGCACCGAGACATTGGCACCTACCCCAGATGGCCATGAACATGGCAAACAAGACCGTCCCCTCGTTGTCGATCATGTGAGTGACCTGGAGAAGATCAAGGGAGAGCGTGATGGAGCAGCGGGCTGCAGGGGCTGTGGCACCTCAGGGTCTGGGGAGAGGCTCAGTGGGCCTCTTGCCACCCTGCTCTCTCTAGGAGTTGGGTAAAGATGCTGCAGGAGGGTTAAATGCAGGAAGGGGATGAGCACTGGGGCTTCTTAGTGGTAATGGAAACCGTGATCTGGCTACACCTCCTCCTCCTTACGCAGGAGGTTTCCTGCGTGTTGTAGCCAGTTTGCTGGGGTGGCTTTTCTTTCTAGTGGAGTGGGAACAGCACAGACTGGGAGTGTTGCCCCCTCCTTGGCCTGGAGCCTGTCTTGGGAAGGGGGCTACCTACCTTGGCGTAGGTGCAGGTGTCGGAGAGCAGCCAGAACGGGCACTGCTGGTCGCAGAGCGGGCACATGATGGTGGTGTTGGCTTCACAGATCTCTTTGCTAGAGAGAAAGGCACGGAGGGAAGCAAAGGGGAATGACAGTGGCTCACAGACAGCACAGCAAAGGCTCATGAACGGGGAGCGCGTTCGGCATGCCCAACAGCCTTACCTCACCTGGCTGGAATTGAAACCAGTAATCCCAGCCACGAAGACCACCAGTCCAACCACTGCAGCGAAGCCCAGCAGGTAGGTGTACCAGCCCAGCCAGGCAAAGTACAGGGCCACCTTCTCACCGAAATAGCACCTGGAAGGGAAGGGGAGAAGTGCGCTGAGGACACCAGAGGAGACCGTGTTGTCAGGGGTCACTAGAAGATGCTCTTCCACCCCCAAAGGGGTATCGGGTCGGGGAGGGCAGTGCTGTCCACGTGTCTGGGGGTTTGCTGGGCTTGGGAGAGTCAGCCCAGCTGAGCGGAGGAGCTGGAGCAACACAAGCGTGCGGCATTCCCAGGGGATTTCAGCAGCAGCGTGGGCAAGGAGCGAGAGCTGGCTCTCCTTGCGCTCTGACCGCACGGGGATGCGGTGCAGGGCATCGGGGACATCGCTGTCCGTAGGCAGCGGGCATGGTCCCACAAGCGCTGCTTCTGCCCTTCCATGAAGGGAGCCCGGAGGGTCTAACTCGAGGGGCGATGCCTGCGTGTGGTCAGATCGACCGTGTGCCAGCTGAGAGGGCTGGGGACAGCTGAGTGACCAAGCTGCAGTCAGTGCCTGCAGAACAGTTTTAGAAATGCTGGGCTTGAGGAAGATGAGGGCTGCGGGGTGCAGTGTTTCTCAGACCAGAGCAATTTTTCCCTCTGGGCTCAGCTATGCCCCACAGTGCATTCGTGTCTCGTTCTTCAGGGGGTGGTATCTCAGCTTTTCTGGTGTGGGGAAGAGGGTTGGAGGCGTGGGGAAGAAATGATGGTAACTGCTGACTGAGGGACCTGCCTCCCCTCGTAGATTCCAGAGGAATTCACTTTGTACCAGCAGCCAAAGGTGGTGATGTGCCCCCTGGCCTTTGTTTAAAACACACAAACCTCAACACTTTCCCCCTCCCAATTTCATGCTCAGCCCCTTAATCCCTCTGTGATAGCAACAAGTCATGGTGCATTGACCTTAGAAACGATGAGCTGTCTGACCTTGTGCTCCAGGGAGGCATCAGGAGTCCCTAGTGCACTCGCTAGACTCGTAAACTGTAATAAACATGGAAGGACAGGGAGGACATCTGCATTTTAATGTTTCATCTGCCCAACAGAGCCCACTGACAGCTTTATGAAGCAGCATGGTTTTTGCCCTCCTTTCTCTGACCATGGAGAGTTATTTTTCTTCTGATTCTAAAGTAAGAGGTGTGCTCTTTCCTGAGTTTTAGTGTGGTTCTGCGAGCCCCTTGTTGCCTTTAATGCCCCAAGTTCAGCCTCGGGCTGGATGTGCTGTGCTGGTGCTCTGTTCCCACCTCACCTTCCCTTTGAACGTGGAAGCGCGTGGCTGAAAATGAAATGGGCTAATTAAAAACTGTGCAGGTGTCAGGGTGGTTTCATACTGCAAAACTGGCAGATGGAGCGTGGTGCCACAGGGGTACCCCTTAGGCTAAGAACGTTATGGGCTTCAGAAGAAGACCAATACTTGCGAGAAGAGCCAGGTTCAAACTAATGATTTAAAAGAAAACACAGGAGCCTGGCAAAGGGCATAAAGCTCTCTGGCTTTCAGGTGGGACCTCTTGGTTAGCAGAATCTGCTGTGCCTCTTCTGCCTGTGTTACCTGATCTTCTCAATCGGCTGTTGGCGAAATATATCTCTCCAGCGAGCCCATTTCTCCTTTAGGAATTCCCTCACCTCTTCTTTCTGGAGAGCAGAGAAGTTGGTGGGATACAGGAATATTAGGGCAGCCTGAATCCCCAGGCTGCTTAGGGAGCTTTGTCGTGCCCGCCAGCCAGAGAGGTCTCGATGCAGCCCCAGCTACCCAAAGGTCTCCCCGACCCGCTCTTGCTCCTCCACCTCTCCTGGCTTTTACCCCCAGGCACCCACCTGTGTGCTCAGCCTCACCTCGTGCAGGGGAAATGTTGCCTCAAAGACCTTCTCCTTCATCAGGTCACGCAGCTTCTCTGGTAGCAGAGCAGAACAGAGAGGATTAGTGAAGGTTTGCTCTCGTCCCATGTGCTCCCTCCCGGGCAGAATCACCCCAGACTTCTTCTGGAGCCTTTGAGGGAGGGCAAAAAAAGATGCCCGGGAGAGGCTGAGCTGTTCAGAAGGGATCAGCACTAATTCTTGTGGTTGTGCTGCTCTGCCAGGCTGCCGCAGGCTGCGTGGCGGCTGGCTCTGGGAGCAAGCCAGGTAGGGAGGTCCTTGGAGATGGCTAGGAAGCCAGCACCCCCTTCGGCATCCTCCCGGGGGTGGCAAGGCAGCCGGGGACGCCGTGCCCACCGCGGGGCAGGAGCCTTGCTGCAGACCCAGGCTGAGCATCACCCCTGGCCCCTTACCGAGGTCGGGAGTCGCTGTGTTCTGCAGGATGAAGTTCACGATCCGTATCCTGAGCAGGGAGAAACTGTGGTTAAAGGCTGCTCTGGGGATGCAGAGTTGTGCTGTGCGGCCGTGGAAAGCGCGGGAGGGAAGGGAGAAGGTGTGCACCGAATTCCAGGGAAGGGAGGGGGAAAGAAATGGGGAGCTGGCTGTGGGCAGTGAGAAGCCAGCAGCTTTGCACGCAGTAGGTGGAGGTGAGCTTCTGTGGAGAAGGGAAAGCCTGGCACAACTGCGAGCTGAGCTGGAAAGTGGATGCTGGCGTGGAGCGAGGGAAGTGCCAGGTGCTGGACGTCAGTAGCCTGGCTCAGCACCCACCTGGTGGTCACTGGTATGTCGTGATAGGCATCGGGGTTTTGCAGCCTTCTGTCGGGGTTCCTCAGGAGCCACTGGTACTTCTGAAAGATCTGTTTTGGGGCACGGACTCCGTAAAACAGCTTCTTGTCCTCAATTTTCTAGTGGGTGGAAGAGAAGGGCTGTTAGAACAATGCTGTCAGGGAAAGGGGCAGAGCTGCAAGGGCCAGGGGCCGTGTGAGTCCTGGGGCTGGGGTCTCCCCCAGTTGAGCAAGTGGTTTATTTTCCAGCACTGACATGGTGATTGGCTCAATGGTTCAGGTCTCTCCCATCTCCTGCGATGCAGGAGCCCAAATGATGCTTGGATCCTGGGTACCACAAGATGCCCAAGTAGCTGCTGCCTTTTCCCCCTGCAGCCCCTCACCTTGATGGTGAACCCCTTCTTGCTCAGCTCGTCCAGGAACTTCTTCCTCTTGATCTCCTTCTTGCTGCCCACTTCGTGGATGTCACTCACCAGGACGAAATCCCACTTCTCTTCATCCTGCCCACAGAAAGCTCCAGGGATTTTATGGGGGTGGCAAGCCAAGACCTCTCCCTCCTGACTCCAGCCTCTCAGAGGTTTGGACCTTTGTCATGACTGCGTAGGAGACCCTTGGGAACTGGGAGGGAGCAGGAGAATGGGCATGGGGAAACTGAGGCAGCTGCTGCATTCACACTACCCCGCTCCCCTCTCTGAGCTGTGCTGAACTTGCTGTGAGTGTAGAGGGAGCAAAGCTTACCGCGGGGGCAAACGGGTCCGAGTCTTCGATGGGAAAATCCCTCCAGGGTGTCAACTGGATTTCATCCTGCGGAACAGAAAACCAGCGGAGGCTTCAGTGGGCTCCCTGGGAGACCCCGCATCTGGGCACGGAGCAAACCTCTCCCTGGAAGCGTTCGGCCGGCATCGCAATGCCCTGGGTCAGAGCCTGCTGGGGTCACCAGGACCAAGCTTCCCCGCTCCCTCGCAAGGGAGCCAGACAGGAGGGGGGGAAAAACCCTCCCTCTGCTCTGGGTTTTGCTCCTTCTTGTTTCACCTGACGCCCCGACATTTGTCCTGGAAGCATGTCAGCCTTCACTCTCTCTCCATGCTACAGTGGCTCTTACAATCTTTAATCAACCTTTTTGCCTCTTTAGTTGCTCTTTTTGGATAGAGCACTGTCAGCTTTTTGGGGAAGGCAGTTTTAGATTCCGGTGAAGGGAGAGTGGGGCATGGACATTCGGAGGCTTGCACGACCCTGCAGACTGCAGCAAAGCAGGTGAAAAATGAGTTCTTGGAAAACACCTCGGCTGGCTCAGTCTGCGGCCAAGGGGCAGAGAGAGGAAGAAGAGCTGCTGACGCTTGGCTGCTGCCTGGTTCCCTCCGGTGTGCTGCCAGCTCCGAGGAGAGAGGCTGCGCAGGGGTGAGCGCAGCTGCTCACCTTCACTGCTTAAGCCCAGATATGCTCAGAGGTTCAGCTCTGGAGGTGTACAAAGCAAATAAAGTGGCCCTGTAGCAGCATCTTCCTTCTGCCCAGCGTGATTTCCCAGTCCCGGCTGCCTCTCTGCCCAGGGATGCTGCACCAAGCACCCTTGGGTGCCCAGAACTAGGGCACATCAGCATCAACCCGCTCTGCCCTGTCCTCTACACCTGGCTTCCTCGATGTGGCCTCAGCCTGGTTCTGCAGCCATGGGTCCCTCTTGGGCGAGAGGAGATTGATCTAACCAGTCTTTCGATGATTGGCAAAAGCACGCCAGGCTTCAGATCCCGGTGAATGCGATGAGTTTAACAACGACAAGCTCTGCAGGCCATACTGTGACAGAGGCAGGAAATGGATGCTGTCTTAAAACCAGCATTTTGGGGTTTTTTTTGCAGTTCTCTGACGTGACGCATGGTGTGGCCCCACAAACAGTTATGCTGCTGTTCCTGAAGGCATGGTGACGCAGCACCGGAGCGGGAAGGAGCTGTCAGGGGATGGGGATATCGTCAGCCAGTATTGCCACCAAAGATGTTGTGACCCGAACCAGCGGCCAGCCAGACAAGTTCATCCAGCTGTAACCTTGGGAGCAGAGCAGCGGTGGTGCAACCATGCCCTGGTGTAAGATCTGGATCCCAAGCTTTCACTGAAGAACGAGGCCACAGGAGCAGGAGGGACTGGGGTGAAGAAAGGGCTGAAATGCTCTGCCAAACCCCTGCTCACGTGGAGCTAGGGCCCTGGCTTTGCCCAAAGCAGAAGTGCTGTGGGGAGACTGACCAACAGAAAGCCAAAGTGAGAAGGATTGAGAAGAGGGCTATTCTCCCCAAGAAGTGCTGTTGCAATGAGAAGCAGGACTTCTCGCTGCTAAAAGGTGCCCCAATTTAGGTTAAGATGCAGTGGGGGTTGGAGGAGATGCTGTCATCTGCTCTGCCAAAGTCCTGAGCAGGCTTTGGGGTGGGAGGATTGGGTTTTGGCTTGGGTTGGTCTCTGCGGGCACCTCACTGGTGCAGCAGCTCCCTGTCCCTGGCCTCGAGCCCTTCTCTGGGCACAGCGGAAGGAGTGGGAGTCCCGCTGGGGCTCTGCCCCGTTGCTGATGCTCTGATCCTGGCACCGGCTCTCTGCATGTCACGTTGTCTCATTCCTGCCTGGCTGGTTCCCCTCAGCCTGCCTGTGCACCAGCCGCCTCCTGCAGCGATTGCCTGCCGGGGCTGCCAGCCTTCCAGCTCCACCGTAATCCATGCGACATGGAGGACAAGCTGCCCTTTGGGGACAGGGGGTCTCAAGGTGTTCCTAGATGCCACCGGGGTCAGCCCCTCAACACAGCTGTCCTGCTGGTGTTGACCCTGGCAGAGCTCAGGACCTGCCAGCACCACAGCTTCTGTTTTCTGGCTGTCTGCAGGCATGGTCCCCTGCTCAGGAGGTTTTCCATGGAGAAACCAAGGTAGGCTCACAAACAGGGTGTATCCAGCCACGGGGCTTGGTCCATGTAGCCAGGCTGGAGAAGCGGAGCACTGGGAGCGTTACCCCCAGGCCCTGACAGTGCTACCAGCCCCTGAGCCCATGCCTGCCTTGGGGCCTTCCCCATGGGGACAGCATTGGGGCTGAGCCTGCGGAGCTTCTGCAGAGCATCCTTCCTCCATCAGCATTCCCAGCCGTGACGTTGCTGGTCTCTCAGACCTGACGCAGCCAGACCCTGTCCCTGCTTCTCCATGCTCCTGGAATAGCCAGCACTGATTTTGGTCCCAGGAGGGACTTGCTGCTTTCTAGTTTTCCAGTGAAACCCTAAGAATCGGTGGGGATGTTTCTGAGGCCGCCCATGTAGGGCTCTCTAGACAACAAGGCTGTCACAGTAGCAGGGTCTGGCTTTTCTCTGCGTTCCCATGGCAACGTGATTTACCGCTCGGTACCCGCTCTGCAGGCACCATGAGCACCTCTGTGCAGGACTGAAAAATGGGGAGGATTTTGTGAATTACTTGCAGATTAGCACAGGCAATTCCCAGTGCCCACCTCTGGAGCCGTAACGGATAAAAATTGCATTGAGCTGCAGCGGGGGATTTGCAAACCTGTGATGACG